GCCACCCGCTGCCCCGAGCCGCCCCCGAGCCGCTCCCGGCGCCCACGGCTCCCGTGAGCTCCGGTAAGACGGCGGCAAGAAGCCATGGGCTTAGGAACCGCTCTGTCCCTGTCATCAAGGCAGAGGCGAGGGCGTGAAAGAGGTTGGCTCTTTATTGACCAGCAGAACATAGAGACAGTCATGAGGACACCCAAGGAAAGACAGCACACCAAAGATTCTCGAGGGAGAACAAAACCCAACGGCAACCTTCGCCAATCTGCTTCCAGAGTAGGCAGAGCGGCCCGAAGACCTGCCAGACCACCAGCTCGCACAGGGCACCCAAGGCCCAGGGTCCTTTCCAGTAACTTAAGTCACGTGGGACGGAGAGGTGTCAGGAGGGTCAAGAAACGAGGTCAAGTTGTCTTCTTTAAAAAATAAACTCTGGGCAAAGATCACTCTCATCGTTCTTCTACAGCATCTAATTTCTATAATAGTAACTATTTCAGGGGTGATGAGGACACTCATTTGAAAACAAATATTGAACCCAGAGGCAGGAGGGGTCATACGTCACCGAGGGGTCAGGGCGGCCTCCCCAAATCCCCCCAGTGGGCTGGGTTAGGGGCTCTCTCTTCTCAAGATCTTCAACATCATTCTTTCAGGTGCTTGACCCTTTGACAAATGCTTCTCAGTATATACTTTAATCTTGTTGTCGGAAATTCTATCACAATATAAAAAATAAAACCCTCACAGCTAGACCAGAAGTTTTCAGACAATAAAATGATAGGTTAGGTGTAAAGAAAAGAATACTTTCACTTCAAATTTACTGCAGATTTGCTTCTTTAAGCAAATTGGAGATAATCTTTTAAAACTATCTCACTTAGGGAAATCCACTCCAAAGTACCTTTTTAAAGGTAGGATTCCCGCCCCACCCCAGGTTCTGCCTAAAACTGCCAAAGGGCCTTAAATTAACATTATTCCTTCAACCTGCTGTTTAGTCTTTAAATTATTCCAAGGTTACAAGGAAAGGTTAAGCGGGGTAAGGAAAAGAGCAGCCCCAGTTTGAATTTTCTGTCATACAAACAGTTCCACTCCCAAGAGTATTAGCTGTTTTCCTACAAGATTGTTATGGGTCTTTTCAAGGTCAAGGGGTTCATAAATCAGACCACGATCACATCACAGGGTGAATGGAGAACTCAGCATCGTGGTTTGCTTTAGAATAACTGCAGCCTGTCATAAAGTTGCTAATATCCTCCCCCTCGGTCTGACAGAGCTCACACTTTCAGGACCGATGAGGGAAAGGGGCGGGCCTCAAGAAAACCTCCCATTCTGTTCTTCAACAACTTCTTTATATGAGAAAAAATCGCTGCAACAAAAAGAATCAATTACAACCGTCCCTCGCTACTCGATGGAGAAAATCATCTATCCCCACAATGGAGACGAACAGGAATTTTAAACCAGGGCAGCCTGATGACAGCAAAATCATTCACACTGAGGCTGAACAACCTTCAGAATGCTCGGGGGGCATCCGGGCAACGTGCGCACCACAGGCGAGGCCACACAAGCCCCGTGGCCTGCGTCTCTTTTCTTTGCCTTTCCTACCCTACGGCAACTGCTGGCAAGGTTCTCAGGCTCTCCTACAACGAATGTGGGAGCTAGTTATAATGCATGTGGACGTCCAGGAGCTGAGCTCGCTTTAAAAATACTTCTCATCAGTTAATGTTATAAATATTTCCCAATTACACATTAACATTAAATACTCTTATCTGGCATCTTAAATTTAGTCATAACCTACAAGGTAATGTTGACCCTCAATATTATAAGGAAAAAAAAGATTGAAATATAGATGATTCAACTAGATAACTATGAGGACAAAGATGAAAGGCAGTGAAGTGGGGCCAATAATTTTGTTTATAACACAAACAGGCCAACAGAGACTACGGGAAAGAAAAGCATACGCAAGGGCACCTTCTCCACTTCACTGAACTCTGTTCTCCGTCCCAGCTTCTGAGGCTGTAGGCTGGCTACATCCTATAGAGCTGACTCAGTGCTAAGACAAAATTATAACCTTGTTTAATAATAGAGGTTCCCCAAATCTTTAAGATTTAAACTTGATTTTTTAAAAATTAAATGAATGCATGTGAAATTTCAAGATGTGGAACACCTTGAGGAAAGTGGCCATAGCTGCTTTGTTTATTTGTTGTTTGTACCATGATGCCAGTACATATGCACTGTGCATCCAGTGCAATTACCTGCACACAATAAATATTCAAGAAAATGTGAGTGAATGAAGGGCTAAATAATGTGATATGATGTCCTATGTACAATTAATGTAAAATTTTACAAATGTTAACTTTTCATTGGAAGAGTTACAAAGCCATAAATGTGAAAAAAATTATCTGGCTTACTCTCAGTACATAGTCAGGGAAGTCTAGAGTTATACCCCAAAATTCTCAAATTACAGTCTTTAGCTCATTTAATTCTCTCTGTGGCTGGACTATCAAACAGCATATCACCTTCCAGATTCTATTTTTATAAGAGGAGCATAGTTGCTAGTGCTCTCTCTTTAAAATAAATAAATAAAAGAGAAAAAGTGTGATTTTCCACAAAGCGAACTTTGTTTAAATGCCAAAGTTTTACTAATAATATCTTCCCAGAGACAACAAAAACACTATATAAGAGAGATGCAGTTTGACTAATGTTTGAGGTGCTGTGGAGGTGACCTCAGGGCTTACTTCCTCCTGTGCCTCACTTAGTTGCATTTTGGTTGGAAAATTGTTTCCCCTGGACTCAATATGTTTAGAACTAAATACTATGCTGAAGTGATAGCGTCCCGCTGAGTAGAAGCAATTTTCTATGTTAGGGTCCTGATGACAAAATTCATACCACACCACAAGTGGCTTCATTAAAACCAGAGGTTATCAAATTAGCAAAGTTAGATGGACGTATCATTAGAGGGAATGTGGTTTATCCTGAGCTCAACGTTGGCTTATAACAGCCTTCATTTACTTGTTTGTTCTTTAAGCTTTAA